ATTCAGTTTCATTTTGTTGCATATGGATTTCCAGTTTTCCCAGCACCATTTGTTGAAGACGCTATCCTTCCTCCATTGCATGCTTTTAGCCCCTTTATCAAATATAAGATAGTTGTAGTTTTGTGGATTGGTTTCTGTGTCCTCTATTCTGTACCATTGGTCCACCCGCCTGTTTTGGTACCAGTACCATGCTGTTTTTGTTACTATTGCTCTGTAGTATAGTTTGAAGTCTGGTATCGCTATACCGCCTGATTCACAGTTCCTGCTTAGCATTGTTTTTGCTATTCTGGGTCTTTTATTTTTCCATATGAATTTCATGATTGCTTTCTCTATTTCTACAAGAAATGCCGTTGGGATTTTGATTGGCATTGCATTAAACCTATAGAGAACTTTTGGTAATATCGCCATTTTGAAACATCTTTACTGAGCAAACATGAACTTAGTTTCTCACCTTCCCTAAATCCTGGGCTGTCTCAGCTGTATTTGAGTGACAATTCTACACACTCCAGAAGTCATCTACATCATAATTCTATGTAACTGGAATGTAAATGACCCCTGGATTTAGTGTCAGAATATTTGAGTCAGTGTTTCATCTTTTCTCCATCCTGACTGACTGTGGGATTCATGATTCTGAGGCGTGGTGTCTTGGGTTTTGGACAGCTATTAACTCTCCTGGGTTTTATTTCTATTTTCCAGAAAATGAGCATAATATTATCTAGGGGTTTTGTGAAGCCCAGCTAAAGAAATGTATATGAAAGCATTTGAACACCTTAAAATGCAATTGGGATGTGACAGTTGCATCACTTCTCCTTTCATTACCAATGGAGAAATCAGCATATTCAAAAGACTTGGAAGGCAGCACTCACTCTCACTAAATGAAATGAATTGTGAAGGACACTGCTGCCACATGGAACAGAGAACCTGAAGTGAGGACCAGAAAGGAAACGTGAATATTACAATACATCAGCTAAAGGACACATATGTATCCATGTGCACATATTTTCTTCTGCTATTGCAATCCTGTACCAACCCCTAATTTTTCTATTTTCCAAAAACTAAGCCAGAACAAAACATAAGACACAGAGCATCAAACTACCAGCATGTAAACTACCAAAAGCTGCCTTTAAAACATGGTGTATTATTTCAAAATAGTTAATAGATACTATTGTATTCTTAATATTGTTGGGGAAATGGTGATACAAATATTAAAAACAAATAAATTCATATCTCTGTGCAAATTGCATCACATGAATGAAAGAGCAAAGAAAAGAAATTAATAAAGAATTAAACTTAAGAAATTAATAAAAATTATGTAAAAGTATAAAAAAATAAAGAACTAAGGTGATAGAAATTTGTCTAAAGTATAAATACAAATGATTTAAACTTTTACTGATGACAGAGTTTCCAAATATTGGTTAAAAATAAATTTAAAAAATCACCTTAGAAATTGTATAAGAACCCTCAAAGTAAAGTTAAAGACAAATAGAATTTTGAGAAAATATGTGAGAAGAAAATGCTTCTTAAAAGGGGTAAAGGAGTCTTATACTTAATAGGTTGACTATGGAATCTAACAAAAGTTATTTAATATGGATAAATGGTTCACACACATGATTTAATTATCATGAATTTTATATATGGAATAACAGAGCTTTAAGATATATAAAACAATATCAGATTGTATATGAAGAGCAATAGGAAAATTACATTGTAGTTGGAAACTTAACCCTACATATCTCAATCTTTGACAGAGAAAGTAGACAAAAATGACCTATACATATGAAGGGTTTGAAATGAATGTGTGACATACTATATACACATCTAACTTCATACAAGATGCACATCCCTAAATCTAAAATTGTTCCAAAATCTGAAAGTCTTTGAGGGGCAGGTATGATACTACAAATGGAAATTTCCACACAATATAATTTTGTTTTATCCATGAAATTATTAAAATGTTGTACATTGATATTGTATAAATTACATCCATGCAAAGATTATATGAACTTGGGTCACATTCCCTGGATATCACAGGATATGTATGCAAACAGACCAACATATAAAAAAGTCCAAAGTCTGAAACACTTCTAGTCTCAGGTATTTCTAATAAGGGATATTCAGTCTCTACTATCAAAAGAGATCACTTAGTTTCTTCTTTAGGTATCTCTGGAATATTTACAAAACATGGTACTATGCTAAGCCATGAAGAGAAAAACAGTATATCCATAATATTAAAAATTAGCTGGACAGGTGTGCTTATAATAGGTTGTCCACTTAAAGAGAGAGGCAGGGAAAGCACCTAGTGAAGACAGAGACAGGAAGAGTTCTACATTAAGACAGAGAATTTGAGTGATACAGCTCCATACAAAAGAGACCAAGAGTTGCTAGCAATCACTGGGAGTGACATGGAGGCAAGGAAGGATCCCTACGGTTTTAGAGGGAACATAACCCTACCTTCACTTTATTTGGACTTCTAGTCCCAGAACTACAAGACAATGAATTTCTGTTGTTCTAAATTTAAAACAAACAAAAATAAGAATGAAAGAAAAAGAAAAAAAAAAAGTTGAGCATACCCCCCCAAGTAGAAAACAATCCACAAATAACATAACCAAGAAGCATTTTAAAACCATGAATTCTGAAAATTAACAAAAGGATAAACAAGCATAACATATAAACTTAAGCCATTAGAAATTAACTTTTTTTTTCCCATGATTACCCATGGGCCAATAAGGAGATGAAATTGCTATAACATGTCACTATACCAGATGTAGATAGTAGAACCAAGATGTCTTTGGCTCAAGTATCAGGCCTTAATGAAGCTGTCACTTTGCACAGGAAACATAAATTCTTTGCTTGCTCTGTGCTGGAATGTATTCTAACAAGTCTATGGTGGACATAAAATAAGGACACACTGAGCTGGCCACCATGGCCCTTACCAATGATCACAACTAGCCAGGAGGCTGAGGTAGGATTGCAATTCTAGGCCGGTGTAGGCAACTTAGCAAGTTCCTATCTCAAAATAAAATTTAAAGAGGGCTGAAAATGTTGCTCAGAGCTAGACAGCTTGCCTAGGATTCTCAAAGCCCTGAGTTCAATCCTTATTGTCTCAAAGGAAAAAATAAAGAAAATAGGACAAATATTAGCAGGAACTCTGTAAAACTGAAGTTCCACACATAAATCAACGGATTAGTAGGTTTAAACTAATTTGATGCATTCCTCACCAACTTGCAGGAAAAGTTCTGTACATTAGTCAATGAGAAGTATTGGTGAAGAAGAGGGAGGTGTTCCATGTTGCCAACAGCAAGTGTCAGCCCTGCAGTGTGCATTGTGCATGACAGCACCCATTCCTCCCTCCCTGTGAGGGCTTATTTCAACCAGCAGGGCTTCCTCTTCTTATCTTGGGACACTCTCCCAGAACCTGGGCTCTCAGGCCCCCTGATGCTTACTTACTGCTTCCTGTTAGCAGCACCACCCCTTCCTCTTTCGTTTTACTGTCTGGGCCTTGGGGAGCCAGCTCTTGGGAGGCAGCAGCCGGCGCCCCAGCCCTGAAGCCCGATCCCGGTATGGCGAAGCCGCGTCCAAGCCACTTCCTCCCCACCCGCAGGACTGAGCGGGGCCGCCCATACCTTCCAGGCGCCTCCAGTGGTGAGTGGCGGACCCCAAGACAGCAGATTCACTGGGGACCTCTGGGTCCTGTGAAGGTCTCTGCGGTGGCTGTGGGCGTGGTCCAGGATCCCCACAGACCACGTCCCCAGAACGCTGGGGGATGGGAAGCCCCCGCAAACCCCTACTGGACTTGGCTTGTGGGTAAAACCCCAAGTGAATACATAGGGAGGCTGTCTGGGGAGTCAGAGGGAGACATGGCTCTGAGGAAGTGTTAGGCAGGTTCTTTGAAAACAAGAAAGGGTCTCTGTGTTTATTCACTTGTACCTGTTGCTGAGGAGCATTTGACCCTCTTTTAAGGGGAGGTGGGCCAGTCTCATTTCCCCACTCAGAATTTCTATGCTGTTAATTTTAAGGGGTCATATTTTTCATGATGGACCCAGACTGCAGGAAGGAGGCAGCCTGGAAAGGAGCCAGGGGTATTTGGGGAAAGCTCTTCAGGAATTCAACAGCACAGCAGAAAATGATTGGCATCATATTAAGAGGAAGCTGTTTCTTTGGATCTGTTTGAAAGACCCAGCTGACTCCTCTCAATGTTTGAGTCAAGACCTGTTAACTGCCCTGCCTCTGAGCACACACAACTTGGGCAAATTTATTTGGCAGGAAAGTTGGTTTATATTGTGATTTGTTAAAAAAAAAAAAAAAAAAAACAGCAAGCATGCTGCTCAAGTGAGATGATGGGAGTTTTTGTTAACCAGAGTTCAGTCCTAGTCCAGAGGCCTGATGAAATGGAGGTGAGGTGGGGGGCAGTTAGCAAATCAGTTCTTTTCCTTGTCTCAAAATCAAATGAAAGAGTAATGGTGAAAAGCGGAAAGGAAGTTTAATCAATATAGGTATACTGGGAAGTAGACCAGTGTTTCCAGACCCTGTATTTGGGGGCATTGATATGAACTTCTAGATTATTAAGACAAGGGGAACTACATAGAAGTATCCATAGTCAGGCAGCTTTTGTCAGACTATGGCATGGATGATCATTCTCACAATTGGTCTGGTGGGAACCTGTTGGATATAAGAAAGCTGGTATTTCCTAGTTGTATGTGTATGTGTGTTTTGTGTGGTATGTGCGGGGGTAGTTTCCACTCATCACAAGGGGTTTATTGGTCAGGTCTGTCATTTCCAGAATCCAAGGTGACTGACAAAGGAGACAGATATAACATGGATCCAGAGATGCCAAGATTTTAATCCTTCTTTTACTTGCCAAGTGGATATTCATAGGCTCAAGTGGAGAGTCGTAAATCCTTATTATATGTGCAGAACCTGACAGTTTCATTTGAAAATGACTATGAAATACAAACTGATGATTCAGAATGGATTCTCAGAAAATGATGTGGGGGAGCAGTTGATTCCTGGTATTATAGTGGGTTTTTGCAGGTTGGTAAAGGTAAAACACTTACCTGTCTCCAAGTGTGTGAAGATAAATAGAATTGATATTGAATGGACATAAATTTACTGAGCATAGGAGTTCCTAAAGGTGTAGGAGAAATTGGTTCACATATATTTTAAAGGCACTGACTAATATATTGGGGCTTTTTTATTCACAGGAAATTAAGTTTAACTCCAAGTTTGGGTGGTTTGTTAAAGAATTATTGAACTTCCGTTTGTAATTTTTCTGTGAGTGGTTGTTTTAATAATTAACTTTAAAAATTAACCAGCCTTTTACAATACATATAAAAATAATGCTAAAAATGTTCAAATATATGACCAAAAATTAAGTTGTAAATATATCATCTTGTGTGTGTATCTTTAATAGTACCTTGTTTTATTTTCTTACCTAATAATGGAAATGTAATTGCTGATTTTTTTTTCAGAAATGTATAGAGATTCATAGTAACAAATGTATATTGGGCATATTTATTTCAGGTACTGGGTATTGTACAGGAATTCTCTTAGGAAACACATTGTTTTTGAAACAAGGTGTATTAAATTACACAAGCATGCAAAATCTGTTTCTGCATTTATTGTCATTAAGCATCCTTGAAGCATTTGAAGTGAGCATAAGTATGATGTTTACAAAATCATATACAACCTAGAGTAGAAAGCTGCCATGAGGGAGCACATTACAATGGACATGGTCTGACCCAATGGCCCTCTGCACTTAATAATTATGTTACACCAAGGAGGCCATAATGAAAACAGAATGGTCTGTCACACAGTTTAGTGACAATAAAGGGGATAACATTGTGTCTCTTCAGAGAAGCTTTATCTGGCATTCACTTTTGAGGGCTGTGTCTTTTGTATGTGTCACACAAGGATGTCATGAGCTTTGTAATGTTTTGAACAACCAATAAAATAAATAAATAAATAAATAAATAAATAAGGATGCAGAGGAGACTGAGGATTGGCAATGGAAGAGCCCTCTCAGTGTTTCCATAATGCATGCAACAGTGCATGTTCTAATTGTACTTCTTGAAATGGCTTGTTGTAGTTGTAACTATCATAGTTGTAATTTTGCTTGCTTTAAGTGTTGTTTCTGAAGTCCTACGCCAGAGGTCCAATGTGGTGGAGTCCCAGAAACTTAGGTCCAGCCACTAGCCTTTAAAAACTGGAAGAAAAAGTAATGTCAAAAAGCAGTAAAGGAATTTTAATCAATATAACTATACTGGAAAACAAAGGGGACCAGAGTTACCAGTTCTTTGTTTAGTGGTACTGATGTGATATTATTTAGACAAGGGGGACCAGAAATAGGCATAGTGAAGCAGAGTCGGGAGGACAAGATCATTAGAGGAGAGAGAAAGTCAATGGATGGGAATGACAAAGATCTTTCAAATGGATTCTGAACTTGCTGTTGCCTCCAACATTTTAAACTTTACAATTGTGGTCTTGCTCTTACATGCAGTCCGCCTGCTTCAACCTCCAAACTATGGCCAGTATTTCTGACTGATACTGCTTCATTTTTCCCTCCTCTCCCACATCTCTAGTTACATGTAGATCAGACACCCTTCCCATCATGCCCTGTGTTCCTTATCCTCTTACATAATTCTCTTCAATTCAGAAAACTAAAGTTTATTAATTCTCTTCAATTCAGTAAACTATACTAATTCTTTTCCATTGTCATTGTTTAAACTGTAGCTAAACTCAGCTATTGAATGCTTAATGTATTTTTTCCCCTGTACTGGGGTCAAACCCAACCCATGGTCTCAAGCATGCACACTACCACTATGCTACACCTCCACAGTCCCTTATTTTTCATATAAGAGACAGAGTCTCACTGTACTACCAGTGCTACCTGGAATTCATGATGATCCTGCCTCAGCCTAATCATATAGCTAGGACTATAGGTATGCACAACCACTTAAGGCTTGAATTCTTAATTTTGATTTCTTTTTTCAGTTTTTGTTTTCAAGTCTTGATCTACTTAACTATTGGTTTAATTAACTTAATCATTTTCATACTTAATTTGATATCTTCCTAGAATTTAAATGTTTTCCTAGTGACGAAATCTGTTGCATTGTAAACAATATTGGAGATTACCTTCTTACTTGACTGAAAGTACATAATAAACAGATATGTGAAGTCTGGACTCTAAATTCAGAAAACCTTCTGCTGTCCCTGATTGCCGGTCTAAGCCCATTTTGGTAGCAACATTATGAATACTTTCAACATTAAAAAAAAAAGTACAGGGGATATTATGATGCTCATGTAGGCTGTCCCTGAACTGAAGCTGTATCATAATATGCTTTTTGAAGTCAGGAGCAGTCCTCACCTTTTTTTAAGTACTGGGAATTGAACCCAAGGGTTCTGTACCACTGAGGTACATTTATATTTCTTTTGAGACAGGGTCTTACTAAGTTGCCCAGGTTGACCTCTGAGATTGCAATCCTCCTGCCTCAGCCTTCAGATTCACTGGGCTTACAGGGGTGCATGTGCCAATGTACCTGGCTCACTTGTCTTTTTTCTCCTTTATGAGTTGTAGGTAATTTTCATACTCAACTATTTTGCTTATTGGAATTTATCTGACATCTAATTTGAGTACAAGCATTTAAAGTTTCATCTGTCTCCCATTTTAGGTTCTAAGGTTATTCTTATCATAGTGATGCAGGCTGTTTATTCATTGGAAAATAATTTACTCACTGCAGCACAGTTTAAAACCATCTTGTTTTCAATGAATTGGTATCTAGAGTTTACAATCTCGTTTATATGGAATATCAACTTACTATTACTTTTCCCTCCACAGAAAGGCAAAACCTCTGAAGATGTCTTCCAGTAATGACCAGGTTGTTATCCCAATGCTACAAAGACACACCAATGACCTCCCTGAGATGATCGCTGGTGACCAGGAGACAATTACCCAAGGAGCTGTGTTGAGTTTTCATAACATCTGCTATCGCTATCTAGTACAAGTGAAGAGTGGTTCTCTGCTCTGATGAAGAACGGTTGAGAAAGAAATACTATTGAATATCAGGTATGTGCATGAACTTTTTAAAAGATCACTTTATTGACCTTTAGGCTTTGCTTACTACCAATAGACTGCTGTGAGCATTTGAGTACAAGTTTTGTAGAGACATATAGATGCATGCTTTCTTTCCTTTAGGCTAAGCTAGGACTGAAATGATTGGATCACTTATCAGGCAGTTTAAACTTTGAAGAGAATTTATGAACTGCATCAAGTTTTGTTTGCTTTTATGACTGTGCAATTAATGTATTAATGTGTCATTTAATTATTAAAGTGGCAGTGAGTTTGGAACTTCTCACTACTTGTATCTATATGAGCTCACAGATGCTGGCCATTAGGGTTGTTACTGTTTGTCTGATTGCTAGAGAACTGCGCTTCCCTCTGTCATGAGGGAAAGTGAATTTGGATTTGCCCTGGCAATGATTGTTTCTTGTTTTTTTTTTTTTTTTTTTTTTTTTTGTTGTTGTTGTTGTTGTTTTGTTTTTTAATAGAGGAAATAACTACTCCTAGTGTATGCAAGCAACTTTTCCTGACTCTCCAAGGCTGGGAAAGTGGTTATAACAGTCCTTTTGCCTGGTGTGGTTGTAGCTCTATATAAAATCAGGTGTTTGACCAGTTTTCTTGATATTTTGTATGCATCTGTGGTCTTTACTGTCAGTAATGCCTAACATCCTTCAGAGGACAAGGAAATGACAGGGTTGGGTAGACAGTATTGGGGTGTGCCTGAGAGAAAAATGTTGAGGCTCTGAGGATTCATGGGCTGAGCTCAGGGGCTTTGTGCAGGATTAAAACTCTCTGGCAATACCTGCTATCATGCCTACTTCTTGTCTCTCTTGTGTTGGTTGAGAAATCCTGACCAGGTGAATAAGAAGAGGAATAGTGGATCTAAAGCTTTTATCCTTTGTTAATGATTAGATAGAATTGACTTATGAAAAGCTGACAAGAGTTTTGTGAGATAATCAAGAAAATATTGGTACTTTCAGATTTTGTGTTGAAAGAGGTAAAAGGTAATTTGATTTGAATATGTGTAGGATAAATACATATAAAGTGCATTCTTCATGTGAGGGTACATTTGCCTGCCCCTGCCCACTTTGGTGTTGGGGATCAAGCCCTTCGCCCTGTGCACAGTGGGCCATCTTGCTACCACTGAGCCACATTCCCAAACACCTCTAGATTATCTTTTCCCCCAAGTAGACTAGTTATGGGATACCCTAAGTGTCACATCTGCTCAAGACTTCTTGTTGTGCTTAAGGCTCAGTGTTGTGCCTCTTAGCAAAGGACAGGGGTCATGGTTTTGTGCTCTTAGGCTAATAAAAGTGCAGTCAAATATTGAAGTTCTTTCAATTTTTACAATTGCAGGGACTGTTGTTTGTGATTTCTTGTGTTTCTGGTGTAAGTATCTGTAGGAAAGGACACCCATTTTTGGTTGCTGTGTGTCAGATCTTTCTCCTGTCTGCTCACTTCAGGTTAGTAGGCTATGGGATGGTATTTGATAGCACAAGTCACCATTCAAAACAGTAACTATATTCCAAGAAATGTGGTGAGAATCTCGATTTTCCTTTGGATACTTTTTTGCTTTCCTTTTGTAAGAAGAAGTTAAACCAAATTTGACCATGAGAATTGAAAAGATTTTCATACCTCATGAAAAACTTTCTCTTAAGCTTAGTTTTTCTTCATACACAGCACTTGAACTTTTCCTCACCAGTGTTCAATAACTATGGGGAAAATTATCCATTCCTGAAGATTTATGAATATTCTATAATGGTGAGGAAAATTCATTATTCTCTTTGGGAAATTTTCAGATTAATGATTATTTTTTTAATGATTTCAAACATAAACCTGAATGAACATAATCCTTTCACTAGATTTCTTACCTGTTACATTGCACTGTTTGCTCCCCTCACTGTCTCTTTTTTTTTTTGGGGGGGGGGTACTGGGGATTGAACTCAGGGGCACTTGACCACTAAGCCACATCCCTAGCTCTATTTTGTATTTTATTAGAGACAGAGTCTCACTGAGTTGCTTAGCGCCTCACTAAATTGCTGAAGCTGGCTTTGAATTTGACATCCTCCAGCCTCCACCTCCCAAGCAGCTGGTATAACAGGTGCGTGCCACTGAGCCTAGCCCTACTGTGTCTCTTTTTGCATTCATTTTTACTAGTGTCTTTTGGGAATCATTTAAGAGCAGACTGTTCACATGATGATTTTCTATCCCTAGCTCTTTCAGCCTTACTTTCTAGAAAGAAGGACTCTCTCCTGTGTAATCACTCATTTGTTGTCTGGCAGCAGCTGAGGAGACAGGTATCCTCAGAATGAAGGCAGGTGTGGTTCTGAGGACTGCCCATCACTGTGCTCCTCACCACATCATGTTTCTTCAGGCTCATCCAGACTGGTACCTTCTAATTCCATCCCACTCCAGGTGATGTTAAAATGGATCACCTGGTTATGCATCTGTCTGCCAAATTTCACCACAGTGTCACCATTTTCCTCTTTGCACTTCATTACTATTGTGAAAGGTGGTGCTCTGACATTAATCCAGAATCTTGTTCCTTATTATAGTCCAACTCATCAGCTTCAGCTCCCATTCATGACTCCTGTCTAGATCAGAAAATATGATAATTACCAAAAGGTGATTTATTTCCATTAACTCATAATTTGCATTAAACTAAGAGGAAAAAGCTTCATTTACTATTTCTTCTTTAATATACTCTATTGAGTCATGGATTCCTCTTTCAATAACACTTAGTGGTAATGTATTATTATTGTTATTTATCTTGATACTTCTGTTGGTCTGAATTTAGTCAGTGGGAGACCTTTCAATTTGAGTTCCCTTCTTCCTTCACTGTTTTGACTTACTCTTTCATTTTTTGAGTATTTTCTTGTTATAGCTAGAAGTTCCATACACTTTTGAGGTTGAGGCATATGCCTGTAATCCTAGCTATTCAGGACACCAAAACAGGAGAATCACAATTCAAGTCCAGAATGGACAACTTAGCAAGACCCTGTATCAAAGTAAAATTTTAAAAAGGCAGAAGCTGTAGCTCAATTATAGAGTGCTTGTTTATGATGCATGAGTCCCTAGGTTTAATCCTATTACCAAAAAAAAAACAAAACAAAACAAAACAAAATATGCACTGACCCTGCTAGGCCAGAATCAGCTGATGTTCATTTTATGGAATTGTGGAGAATGGTATTTATAAACTGTCATCTGAGTGTTTAGAATGCTCATTGCTATTCATGTGTCATTGGAATTAAACCACCTCAGTGGACATGCCTAGGGAATATATGTATGCATGAACATGCACACACATGTATGTATGTGTATGTAGGTGTGTGGGTGTGTGTGTGTGTGTGTGTGTGTGTATATATATATATATATATATAAACTTTGGTTAAAAAAATAAAGCTGAATCCCTTATGCAAGTGCACGAGGTTGTGGTTCTGTCCAGGAGGGGTAAGTGGAGTGGTGGATGGCAGATGGTTCCTCAGCACCCTTCCATCTATACTCTTCTATAACTATTGTGTAGATTAAAACCTATTACTTCTAATTAATGCACCAATTCCAATCTAACACTTTAGGTTCTTCACACATTTTCAATGTTTATAAAATTTTGTTTTTTAAAAAGTCTATTTAAAAACAGTGAAAAAATGCCTCTTCATAGTCTTAATGTAATTATTGATTTGTTCAGTTCTTTTATTTTCCAATATAAGCTTCTTCACAGCCTACAACTTTTCCCCTCTACTCTCTCACTGCTTCCCATCGTGTATTCCCAGGTGCCGGTGTCTGTTGCCCTATTCCCAGGATATCCATCGTATTCCTATTAAGAAAGGAAGGGGAAGGGCAAGTCTAATATAAATGATTGACACACTGTGTGAGCATAAAATCACAAGTAGGAAGGTAACTAAGTTCTGTTCATTCAGAATATACCTATTTTCAGTAAGTCATTTCCTACTTCTTTTTAAAAAAAATAATTAAGAGATGTTAATGAGAATCTGATGCAATTTCATGAAATTCTCTTAAGTGTGTTTAACATAGATCATAATTTAATAGAACTTTGTTTAAAATGGAACAATTACTCATTTTTGCTTTTGTGTTTCAGTGGAATGATGAAACCTGGTGTCAATGCCATTATGGTACCCAAAGGTCAAAACAAGTCTTTATGAGTATAATAGAAATTATAAGTCAGCTTTCTTTTTGTAGTTTCAGTGTGCTTTTAGAAATAACTTTTATCAGTCTTACTAATACAGCATCATAAAGTGGTTGAGGTACACCTGTCGAACCTATTATGAGCTAATGAGGAATAATAAGAAGGGAATAATATTAAATATGGGGAGATGGAACATAAGGAATAATCGAAGACACAAGTCTTAGATAAAAGAGCACATTTCCTGGGTTGGATCCACCAATGTCAGATGGACAGGAGGGTCCTTTAGGAGGTCTATACAGGATAAGCCAAATTTGCCTTGCTTTTATATTTCTGTGCTTTCTTGTAGCACAAATGAAAAGGAAGGTGAGGATTTGAATGTAAACACACACACACACACACAGAAACACACAAACACACATATGTACAAAATTTTAGTTGTCATATATCTCTTAATTAGTTAATTTTATAGCTTGAACAGAATTTGAACTAACAGTAGCTGAGAGAGGCGGCCTGTATTGAAGGGGGAAAAAAAGCTGCACCATGTTTATCCTTTTGTAGGTTGTTAAATATTTTAGCTGCAAGGAAAGATCTAAGTGGATTATCTGGGGATGTTTTGATCAATGGAGCAACTCGACCTGCCGATTTCAAATATCATTCAGGTTATGTGGTTCAAGTAAGTATTAGTTGATTTACTTTTAGGTTTCATTTGTTTCTGTATAGGGAAGTGTCTTGGTTTGCAGTTTATTGTGCTTCCAGTTGATTATGTGACATACTCATAGAATCAACTTTTCTTACATCTGCTTCTCATAATTTCCCATTAGAAAGAGGGTGGAGTTAAATGGAAAGGCAGAGAGGACCTGGAATATGACCTCTGTAGGACATGGATATCAATTCTACTTGTATCATTTTCAGAAGGGTCTGCTGATATCTGTTTTTGCCCCCCTGCCTCTTTTCCTTCCTGAGAACATACTTGAATGTGTCTACCAGTAGTCATATCATACTTCCCTGTGCTCCACTTGGATGTTCAGATGGGTGTTGAAATTCCTCCCTGGGCTCTGCAGCTGTCTGTATATGGAGTCTCTGTAGTTAGCAGAGTTGAAAACACAGCATTAACTACAGCATTTCCTTGGGTTTGTTATTTTCATCTATTGAGTTACATATACTAGAGGGATAGTATAATAAAAGACTCAGTATGTCTCATTAAAATTGTATTTCCCTTCAGAATAATGTCCCGATGAACACCTTGACAGAGAACGTTTGCAGTTCTCAGCAGCTCTTCGGCTTCCAACAACTATGACAAATCATGAAAAAAATGAGAGGATCAACAAGGTCATTGAGGATTTAGATCTAAGTGAAGTAGCTGATTCCAAGGTAAAGTGAAAAAAAAAAAAAAAAAAACAGGTAGAATTGTAGCCAGGAAAGCGGACCTCCCTGTGTGGACAGTGTGACCTTAATCAGAAGTTTCTTATGACATGTGTGGCTGTTTTCCGTAATGATGAGAAAAATAACTACATAGCTACTTGGAAGGTGGAAATGAAGCTGGAGAAACAATCTCAAAGATGGTGGAATCCCTGGAGTGGAGTGTGCTCTCTTTGCTGTAGTCAGGGCTCATTTGATGTCTTTGCACTAACTTTTCTTCTTCCTGTTTTTCTCTTCCTGACTTTTTCTGCTCTTTTCCTTCTCTTCTTCTTGGGACCTTTGTTTCATGGCTTATTGAGGCATATTTCTGGAATTGATAAGTGACAAGTTCCAGGTATTATTTCTTTGTATATATAACTTGTCTGTAATTTGACTTCCAGAATTATATTTGATCACAGTAGGACTGACTTCTAATTTGCATTGCTACTAATTTTTTCTATAGCTTATCTTTGGCAGTTTTTCTTTTTTTTTTTCTCATCCTCTCTTTCTTCCCATTTTTTTTCCAATATTTATTTCCATACTCATCTACCAGGCTCTTAGGTTTGAGAAGTATGTTTGTGGGCAAGAGTAATAGAATGGACTAAGTAACTCAACCTTTTTTGGGTTATGCAGGATCATGGAGAGAATGATCAAACTTTATAGTTTACTGCTCCACGTGGAGGGTTTTCTGAGCAGATATTTGGACCTGTATGTGATAATGAGTTGTTTAGAATATAGTGTCTCTGAATGAAGCCCCTGATCTTCCCTCCTAAAAAAAAAAAAAAA